GTGCAGCCGGTACAGGTGGTGCAGCTGGTACAGTCGGTACAGTCGGTACAGTCGGTACAGCTGGTACAGTCGGTACAGTGTAGTTCAATGGCTAAGACAAAATACAGGCAGTAAAAAAAATCCTAAAACTGTGTTAAATAAAATAAATATTTCACCTTCGTACGTAGATATCTGTAAAAACAGTCTGTTTAAATTACAGTCATCAGCCAAAACCCACATTCATTTATTAGTGAAGATTAATTAGTGCAGAATGACACACGCCACAGTATGTGTCCTCCAATCAGTTATGGTTGCTCTAACACACAGTCGATACACAGGGTGTTATTTGCACAGACTGTGAGGAAAAACACCATCTTAAAATCCCATCATCAACTACCAGCATGTGTGTGTTGAGGCTTCAACCTCAGCTCAGCGGATGCTCCCATTTCCAACTGTTCAAAAGAAGAAAATGCACACAGGGGGCAGCATTGTTGCAGAGACTTTAGTCCGTTCACTTCTGTCAGGTCGTTTATAAACGCCCTTCATTTCTCAGTCAGTTCTCGTCGACACTAAAAGTCATTTTTTTGAGATGTGCTCAACACCTGGGCTCAGGGGGGCAGTAATGATGGAGCACTGAAACAACAGGAGCTGCTCCCACAGTGACAGCTGGAGGGGAGGGGGGGGGCGGGCGTCAGTGGCCCCTCAACATGAACCTGGGCCACGTCAGCAGAGACGGAGCAGGAACCACAGGAGCAGGAGCTCGAAAAAACGGTGTCATAAAAACCGAAGGCGGATCAGTCGGAGTCGCACTGATCCAAATAACACACCGCTTTGAACTTCAGGAACTGCTGGGGAACCTGGACCGGGCCTCAGATCTTAGTGGGAGAACTTTACTGTAGCACTCGTACAATAACCGTCGGACCGCGGCTGCTGCTGTTGACATAATTACTGTGGTGGAGACAGTAAAATGATAGACACAGAAAAACAGCACTCTGGGGGAGAAAACAAAGAGTTCCCGGCACCGGCACCAGTTTCATCTCATCTCATCCTCATCACCTCTGTGAGATGAAGCCGCTCTCACACAATTAACCCTCACTTTTTTTGTAGGTAATTTTTTTATTGCTTCCTCCATGAAACACCAGAAGCAGCGGCACATGGTCCTGACACCAGTGTCACGGCTTCGCTGGTTTGGTCTGTAATCCAAGACGTTTCCAGATCTGTGAGTTGATCAACGGCTCTAGTTTTCAGCTGCTATCTCCAGGTCTCCTCTGTGGTGCAGGAGGATCATGGGTAAGGACTGTCCTGGACTGAACCAGACGCCAAAGCCTCGGTACTGTTTGACTCCCCACTGGAACAGATTATATTCAGGAAGCAGGAATTCCACTGCAGCAGACAGGATGTGACACGCCACTGCACTGTGATTTGCAATTATAACCTGAACTACCCCCCCCAACTCACCCCCCCCCCTCCCCTGCTTCATTTACAGTTTTTCACTAAGCTGAAACTTTTATGACGGAGGAACAACTTTAAGAATTTTTTCTCACTGCGAACACCAGACGTTGAACTGCATCAATCAGACGGCGACGTCTGACGCTAGCTAGAGGGCTGCATACTGACACGCTGACACGATGGGCCGGATTTGGCCCACGGGCCTGAAGTTTGACACATGTGTTTTAAAGGTATTTACAGTAGTTTTTAATCATTTGATATGTGTTGCTGCCACCTACTGTTTGACTTTTTATCTGGTCAATAAGAAGTACGTTTTTCTGATTGAAAAAAAAAGTGAATGTTGTTTTTATAAAAACACACACTGTTCATTCACACATAATACCAGTGAAAGAGACTGAAGTAAAAAGAATGCACGAGAGAGAGAGAGAGAGAGGGAGAGAGAAAGAGAGAGAGAGAAAGAGAGAGAGAAAGAGAGAGAGAGAGAGAGTCTTCATGTGGTGCATTCCTCTGGTCATGGAGGTGGAGAACTGAAGGAGTTGGAGGAATGAAACAGATGGAATACAGAGGAGTGGAGGGTCTACAACCAGACCTCAGGACACCAGCTGCACATGTATACACACACACACACACACACACACACACACACAGAACATCATTATCTCTGAATCACCTGCATCACGTGAACTTCAAGGCAGTTTCTCCAGAGTTTGAACTTTTTTTTTCTCCGTACAGTTTAAATCCCAGACAAATTCTCCTGCAGCAGAAAAATGTCAAACAGTGACATCAAAACACCAGCGGGAGGCGGTGCAGTTGGCGCTGCTCTGCTTTCACATATTGCGTATGACCCAGTTATGGACATATGGAAAAAATTTATTTATACAGGTTGTGGGACGTGCTGGTGGTCTCCAGCTCTGGGGGAGGAGGGGGGGGGGTAGTTGATTTGTCAGGGTCAAGCTGCCCCGGACTGAACAGGAGCTCAGACCATGAGAGCCGCCATGTTGCCAACTACCTGTCTCAGCAGTTTTTAGCTCATATGAAACACGAGCGAAATCGGGACGCTTTCATATGTTAATATTAAATCATGACTATTTCAAACTCTGGAAACTTGAACTTTCCCCTAAAATAAATGCATTAATAAAATAAAATAAAAACACCAGTAAATTAAATTAGCGATGAAGTAGAACCAGAATCTTCTGGTAAATTCTTCTTCTTAGTAAATTAAAAATGATTGTGTCAAAACAAAGAAAAGGGACAAATCCTGCAGCAGGAACTGCCCCCCCCCCACTCCCTCCTTCAGAGTAAAGTGACAGTAGCATCTGTTTTATCCCAGCTGGACCACTGCAGCATAAAATGTAATAAATAATTCATTTGTCTGAGACACAAACAGTTGAACACCAGGCTGCGCTGTCCTGTCTGCCAGCTGTGAGGCCCAGGACGGACAAAGACACCAGGACAGATTGACACGTGAGCTAATCCACTTCTCCCTGGACGTCTGGTACAGTGGCCGAAACAAACCAAGGCCAGTGGACCATATGGGCCGTTAGCGGGCCGCGTACTGGACGGACAGCATGTGCACACGTGTGATTTCCAGATCGATCACTACGTCGACGACTGTCTTCTTATTGGTTAGCAATGAAGCGAATACGCTAACATCGCATTTAAAATGTAAGGCAGCCCCACCAGTGGGGTAGTGGATAGTGTTCTTGCCTTACAGTGAGAAGATCATCAGCTAGCATGTTAGCATAGCAATGAAGCGAATACACTAACATTGCATTTAAAATGTAAGGCAGTGGATGGTGTTCTTGCCTTACAGTGAGAAGATCATCAGCTAGCATGTTAGCATGTTAGCATAATAATATCGTAAATTAATAATTCAAGTGTAGTAATTCTTTTATAAATCTGTACATTTGGATGAAACTGTTGTACAAATATGATTTCACCGTCTCATCCCCCCAGTATTAATACTCAATACTTCAGTATTTCTTTGTGGCTCTGTTTGGAAATGAAAGCAGAAAAAAAAGTTTTAAAAAACCAATCGAAGTAAACCTGGCTCGACGCAGTACTGCTTACCAAAATATATATTTACTCCACGCCCAGCAGCAGAGGGCGGGGGTGTGAAACCAGTGTTAACAGAAGAAGACGCAGATAAAATAAGGAAACGTGTGCATTCCTCTGGGACACGTTGGGCTGAATGAACATCAAAGCCTGGCAGCCGTCAGTGAACGCAGCACCGAGAGCCCTGATTTATTAGCGTAGCTTCCCGGGGATGTTTGGCTGGCCTACTTCAGCTGGGAGGGTGGAGACGCAGACAGTAGTTCATTCACACAGCTCACCCACAGCACACTCCACTGCACAGGGACTTGGACCAGGTTACAGGGTTTTTGAGGTAATTTTGAGGAACATTCCCAAGATTCAGAAAACACACACACACACACACACAAATCCCACCCACTGTAATATAACCCATCTGTACTGAGCCGTTGCACTAACACAGAGGTGTCTGAAGTTTATCCAAGGGGGGAGTCGGAGAGGGTGGGCTACTGGGGGGGGGGGGCAGGATCAATATTGCAATAATGTCTGACAGTCAACCACTCCTACACTGATGCATATCATTGACACATATATAATGGGTTTAAGTTATTGATGTCATCCGTCACCACTGAATCCTGTCCAGGGTCAATTTGATTGATGTATTTAGACATAACGTTAGCTCTGGTGTCTGTACCAGGACTGTTGTAGCTAACGTTAGC